CTCTCTTCCTCCAACAGCAAATACTTCTTCCTCAATGCTCGATACTCGTTTCCAGATGTGTACGAATCTGTTAGTGAGTCTGAATTTGATTGCTCAGGTTGCTGGAACAATGGAGGGACTTCATTTTTTAAGTTCCTTTTGGATACCTTTTTCCCCGTTCTAAGTGGCAGAGAACCCTGTAAATGTGGCACCTCTTCATTCCTATCTAACTGAAATGTAGTTACTCTTGGGGCAGAGTTTTTCTTTTTCCACAATTTGGGGTTTGAATCCTTCTCAGCTCCGAACACCCTTGGATCTTGCATTTCTCACTGAGAAACATTATACAGTGGTTAAAGAACAAGAGTAGCATAAATTTCTTCAATTGATATTATTTGCATATGATCTAGAGGGAATTTCCTTGACAACCACATGACATTGGAGTAGAAAATTCATTGTAGTTTTAGAGACATATCTACGCTAGTCATGTGCATACATCTCAGAAACAATTTTGTCAAAATAGCCTTGTGAATACGTGAGTGAGAGATGAGACAAAATTATATGCACAAATTTAAAGGTTAGTACACTGTCCAACGCACCAAACCCCATATAGATTCCATTTTACATCATGCTTCACAAGGATCATGCTTCTTTTCTAATTTCTATGTATGCCACGAACCAGGTTATCCTCCTCAACTACTTATCCTGTTTCAACTTCAGCCCCAGGAAAGATAAAAGCTATGACTGGACTAAATATAAAAAAATAAAGGATATGACAAGATCCTTAGAATAACCGAACCACAGCCTCCTGATTAGCATCCTATTTATGTATGAACAAAGATGCTATACAAACAACTATGAATAACTTGCAAAAGTTCCTTGATAAAAACGCTTTGAAAAAACGGTTGATATGTAAAAATGGTCATGCTACCAATGGAAAGAAGTGGAAAACAATAAAAATGAAAAAGAACGACGAAACAGCCTGCAAAACACTGTTCCCATGAAGCATAGAGCAGCTCAAACACCTTCCTTCCAAATTAACACTCTCAGCTCTCAGGGAACTACTAATACTATTCAACTCATATCCAATCAGCTAAATAACACACGCCAAGAGAAAAGTAGACACCACTAAATCTTTATTATCATGCATATAGAAAAGTTACCTTGCCTGGAATATAAAAAGCAGGGCATCACTTGCTATAACAAGAAAGCCCCCTTTTTAAAACACAACCGTCCACAACCTAGTGTACAACATTAACTTCTGAAGCCAGAATCGGTGTGTATTTCATCACAATTGGACTTGACAATCAACTACTAATGCGAAATATATTGGTAAAGGAAAACAAAAGCTGGTTATACCCTGATTTATCAGCTTGGATATGGATAAATAGCAGAAGCCTACCTAAGTATCAAAAACCCAATTGTAGTTGCATATCATAAACATGTATATCCCTTCAAAAACGAAATTAAAGCATAGGGTTTGACAATTTATAATTAGTAAAACAAGAACTGCTCATCAAAATTACAACTTTAACTAACCTAGGTTTCTCTGACTATGAACCAAGAGAGACGAACTGGTTTGAAGATCAGAAGGAATTGCTTCAGTTTCTCCGTTTCTGCCTCTTCAAGGCCAGCCTTGCCTGAGAGATGGTGGAACCAGAATTTAACCGAAGAATAGGAGGAGGTCGACACGGAGACGGGTATAATAAAAGGGGAAAGAAGACGCGGGTTTAAGGGAGGAGAAGAAAGAAAAGTAGGAAATTTTTGTTTACATTAGTGGAAAAAATGGCAGAAAAGTACGGGTCAGGGCTTTGTATTTGTAATAAACAAAGATGTTTCATTTTCATGCTCCCATCACTAACCCCGCGGACCCACCAATTTCCTTGCCATAAGAATCGGTCTGCAGCCGCCGACGATTTCCAGCGTGCAAACTCCACAAGTCAAGTGGTCGATAAAATAAACACCACCAGGCGCCGCACCAGTTAACGCTAATGGCTTGTTGGCAAAAACAAAGAATACAAAAAAGAAGTTACTTACTCCTAGTATTTTTTGGGGGCTTGTGCAAAATTATAACATGTGAATTTAACCCCATATAATTTAAAAACGTACATTTAAATCCAAAATCATGAAAAATGTATTTTTATTCCTTATTAACTTTTTTTTAAAATTTAATTATAGCCTGCCTCTTTTTTTTTTTTTGGTTTAACCCCCAGTATTTAGAAATCACATTGAGTTCTAATTAATCCGAAATTAAACTCTTTCAATATCAATTTTTTTATTTACAAGATTCGAACTCGAGATTTTATTTAATGAGAATTGATTTCCTTTCATTTGAACTAACACGTCGTTGATATAGCCTATTTGATTTGATTAACAAAAATGTGAGCGGAGGGGAGGGAAGAGTGTTGTAAATTAGCTTCTTGAAACAACAATAATTTAAATTGTTATAATATTTTTTTCTTTTTTTTTTAAATCCAATAAGTTGTTAATATAAAATTTTGTTATTAAAATATAAATTAAGAATGT